GGTCTGACACTACGGCAAGGTGGAGTTTTGTTGAAAAAATTGCCTAAGTGTCATGAAGACTCTAACTCAAGCAGAAGGTCTCAGCTTATAGAAGAAACAAAAGGCACGAGGAGCTCACGTGCAGACTTATACAACTCACCAAGGGCAAGAGGAGTAATTAACCTCGTGCAAAAGGCATAGACATTTTGTCTCCTTCCTCTGTAATTCAAAACAGAGTACGGAAAAGAGGAAGAGGCGTGTGGCGGTGATTCTGAGGAGTATAAAAGGTGTCTAAAGCTGAGACATTAGGGCTAAGAGAACTAAGAGCATTGAGAGAGGCAGCTGTGAGCTTATAGCTTGTTCTCTAAGGGTTTGTGTTACCAAAGGGTTGTGTAACCGAGCTTTCTAGTGGATTTCCGAGCAAGTCTCGGCCAGACGTAGCGTTTCCAATTTGGAACGTGAACTGGATAAATCTTGTGTGTCATTTACTTTTATGCTCTTAAACACACGAGTGTCGATCAAACGAGAGTGATAGTGAGAGATTCCGCAAAGTAAAACAGGAAGTTCTTATCATTTCTCAACACAACATGATCAGTCACGAAATGTTCAAAGAGGGAGAGAGATGACTTTCATATGGTCGTTGACTTTTTTATGCCAGTACTTAAATCTGTCTAAAGGGCGTCAAAGTCTTCAAGTGAGAGAGGTGCCAGCCCGGTTTCACTTTGGTTTAAATCTCTGTTACCTTTAGAAGTTTTACTTGTTTTATTTTCTATGATTTTTCATGTTTCTATAAAATTAATATTTAATTAATATTTTTTTATTATTTACATTTTGCAGTTTTTATATTATTGGTTGAATTATTGGTTAAATATCAACGTAAAACATCTTATATTTAAAACCATAATGAATAAGTTTTTGTTTCTCAACTCTCAAGTATACTAAATACACTGAAACTGAATCTATCATGGATTGGGATTTAGTTTAAATCAATTGTAGGCTCGGATTGAAGGTTTTCCGATCTTTCAGACACTAAAAACCAATATGTGTCTCTGTATACACCACTCGGCACTCAACACCAAGCAGGTTAAGAGATATGGAGATAACGTAGGTACCAAAAATTTAAAAATAAACCAAACCAATGAAAAAGTCCATACAGATTACTCATTCAATTTGGTAACATGACAAAAATTACAAATTTCACATTCACATTTATTTTTATTATTTATAATGATACAATAAAACATGACGGCACTAAGCTAAGCAAGTCGCTTATACTATATAATCAACAGGCAACACCTAGCAAAACATAAATGATGAACCTCATTTAAACTAAAAAAACAAGCTAAACAGCATAATTGGAAAAAAGAAACAATATAACTGAACCAGTCAAAACTCTATAATTAAGCTTATACGGCATGATAAATACAACCTGTCAACCCTAGACGCTCGTACGTACGCCATGCATTAAGACTTTCAGGCTTTCAGCCTATATATTAATTATTATCTCGCGACAGCGATGTTGCACTAAAAGATTTTTTTTTTTTGAACTTTTTCATCTTTTTTTGTTTTTTTGTCGTAGAACTTTTTCACCATTAAAAGACATCATTGCTCACTCGTTCATTTGATTAACATTTCTTATGCGAGACATATTCAGGCATTTTCCCACATAAATTTGACTTTGACCTGGTACGTTGGTACCCATTAATTGGAGGAGGTTGCTCGTATGTAATACATATCATATCATATCATATACAACTGCTATGTAACGTACGTGCCATAATCGTTTAGTGCATAATTGTGATCGAAATAATGTAATCTAGAGTGTAAAAACAGGAATACCCAGATTTGTGCTCGAACTATATATTTTAGAAATGCAGCAACATAATAGAAGTGAAAAGCATAAAGTAAAGAGGCAAAGACATTTGTTAATGGGGTTCAGTTTAAACCTACATCCTTGGGACCTCGTCCATAATCGATTCACTAGAAAAAGCCACAACCTACAATTGCTATATGGCACCCACACCACTCTTTTCTAGATTTACATATAGACACTACCACCTATTCTTTTTTCAATAGGTGTAGCTCTACAACACAAGTCACCCTTAAATCTTACAATCTCTTCTGATGGGACAACACCACACACACAACATGTACCTCTCGAAATAGAACTCTAGGTTTGTGATTTTCTTTGGACAATATCCTCTTCTATTTATATTAACGAGCTCACCCCAAACCCTAGTCAAACCTTGACTTTTGTGAGAGCATCTCTCCACTTGCCACGTCATCAGTTGACACATCATATTTAGTTTCAGCGATGCCGCTTCTGTTGCGTTCCACAAACTCTTTCTGTTCCACTGTCTGCAGACTCTGACACATACTGATCTGCTCAATTTTTATCCCTAGAGCTATCCTGCAAGAGCACAGATATGCAGTTATAGTATGTAGGGGTCGAACCACAGAGACGAGAGATTCGCTCAATAAACCAATTAGACTTGAATTACGCTAAGTCAAAACAAAACAGTAAAATTGAAAGCAGCAATGAAAATCAAACGTTTGTAAAATCAAATGGAAAAGGATTAGGCTTAGGGCGTTTCTCAGGAAATCAGAGAATGCAGATCAATCGATTAGTCAAGGTTCAGGTTTAAGCACGGTTCTTGAACTCAAATCACAAAATTATAATTAACCAACTTCTATTGTGAAAATTATCTAAGTTAAAATCCTAGAATTCCAAATTCCTTTGCAAACTCTAAAGATTTAAACCAGTTTTAATGCTCAAGTTCGATATGTTCACAAAGTATCTAAACCAAATTCCTTTGCGAATAACTACTTTGCTCACCCTAGGTTCTTTCCAGTTATTCAATTACACTTCCGTGTCAATTAAGCAACCTAAGATCTAAGTTCTAGGTGGCCAGTCCAGAATTAGCTTTAAGAACAACCTATGGTGAAGAACTAAATAGATTATGAACCCTAATCAATCAATTAAGCTAACATCCAATGAAATCCTTTATGAGAACCCTAAACCTAACAAGCAAACTACTCAGACATGGAGATTGAAACAATAAACATGAATAAATAGATTGCAGACAGCAGTAAATAGATTAATAAACAGGGGTTCGAAATCTTCTCTCTCCGGAACAGAGTTTCAGACTTATCTCCCCAAGCTCTCAAAGTATCGATGAACAAAAGTAAAAGCTCTCTCTAAGAAAATCTAAGGTCTCGATATAAGGTGGCTAAAAATCCTATTTATAACTTAAAAACACGTTTTGGGCTTCCTTGTAATTATTGGAGACTTTTGGGCCCAACTCCTTCTTCAAATAGGAGACAAAATCGCGTTTTCCTTATTTCTGCGATCGGTGTCGAGCGTCACTCTCCATGGTGTCGAGCGTCACTCTCCATGGTGTCGAGCGACACTAAAGCACATAATTCATCCTTCACGAATTTGATCCTTGTTTAGCTCCAAAGTGCTCCAAAATCACCGATTAAGCTCCAAACGTACCTATGACCTGTAAAGACTTCAAAAGACTCGAAAAACACTAAAAAGACTCTATAAAGAAGACATATACCATGGTCAAAAACTATAAAAACCATGATATATCAACTCCCCCAGACTTAGCATTTGCTTGCCCTCAAGCAAACAGAATACCAAATAAGAGAAAGAGGTTTGAAAACACATAGACTTAACCTTTCACTGGAACATCGCTTTTGACTGATCACCCTGCAACTCAACTACTGATTCATCATTCCAAATCGAACCACCATGTACTTCTCCGCAGACATTCACAGCTTCCCAGATTAAGTCCAAAATTCCATAACATTGTCCATAAACCCTCATCGCTGGGTCTCACTAATGATTCAGATGCCAAGAACCTTCTAGACTCTTTCCCGTACTATACTCAAACAAATCAGCCTTACGCACTTTGGTAATGTTCTCTCCCCCAGACTTACTATTTTCGCACACTCATCATCTTTTTTTTTTATGGCATATACACGATAAGATTAAAGCTGCGAGTACTAATGGTGTTTGCCATCGAATCCCCGAGTTGTCCCCTTACCTTGTATCAAAGGTTTTCAGCGAATAATGGGGTCATAGGAAACTTTCCTACCCCTCGCTTCCTTCCTTTGTGTGATCATTCCAACTTAGAAGTGAAATAATGGTATCCTTGGAAATTTTCCTAGCCCTTCACTCCTAAGCGAAAATCATCTCAATCTTTTTGCGTTTTTCTTTCTTTTTCTTCACCTTTTTTAGCTCGTCACAAGGGAGAGAAACACCAACATAAGATTTCACACAGGCTTTCATTTGTCAAGTATGAACGAGGAATCAAGCTCTATGAACATCAGTCACATCAATGAGGTAAAAGAAAGAGTTTAGAAATTAGCTCAGGTTAGTGGACTCTGTTGGAAACATGGACGCCTCTAGTCTACTGGTCAGCCTTTAGATTTTTCTTTTGTCGGATCTAAACTGAATCTGCAGCAGTGGTCACTTAGATGAAAGGTCAACACAGTAATTCCAGGAAAAGTATCATAATCTCCAACAAGTTTTGACTCAAAAAAGTTTTGACACGACTGACTCTTAAGAAAAGCAAACACAATGTCAGCGACTACCTCCCCCAGACTTAAACAACACTGTCCTCAGTGTTATCTAGTCCGAAGTTGGTGAAACAATAGAAAGGAAACAGAGAAACGCAGTAAAAACGGAGAAGTTACCTGGCTGCAACGATGGTGTCGACCGACACTGATGATGGTGTCGTGCGACACTTGTTCTCCTCGTACGGAATTGCAGCAGACCAATCCGAATTTCTGGTGTGACTCCGGTTTCCTGATTTCCTAATTTTTTTTTTTAACAATAACAAGTGACAGGCGACACCGAGGGTTGCGTCGCTCGACACCAGCCTCTGCTTCACCTAAAACACGAAAACCAAAAAAGAAAATCAAAAGAAACAAAAAGACTTATGTACAGACTTACTAGTGGATTGCCTTCGACCAAGCGCTTGTTTTAAGTCATTAGCTTGACTATGGATAGACTATGCATCTGGTGGTTCAGACAGTGGCAAAGAATGCCTCTGTGAAAGTCGTCTCATCCATGGTGGTGTGTAAGCGTTGTGCGTATGAGGTCGTCCAAGGAATGCAGGAATAACACCAGGGTGAGATCTGTGTTTGGATGGCCTTGAACTATTCCCTGCAATATCATCAATTGAAAAACCAAGAACTTTACGATAATCACGTAGCTTGCGTCGTGAGACAGAGTCTGCATCTTTCAAATCAGTTTTGATGATATCACAAAAATTAGGATTAGGCTTAAGAGGTGCGTACCTTTGATTTGGTGGAGATGAGTGGAGTGAGATGTTTGGAGCTTCCTGATCAACAGCAGTCACTGGTTCTGTAGATGTTTTCGTCAACTCAGGTTGATCTCTCACCTTCTCAGCATTAAACACGTTCTGATCTCCAACTATCACTTCAGGTATATTGCACTGACTTGGAATGTCTGACCATCTATGGTTGGATCCTTCAGCTTCTCCATCTTGAAGTTCATGATTGTATCTCCTAGGTGGAGATCAAGGTTACCATGTTTGACATCAATTACTGCTCCAGCTGTAGCTAAAAATTATCTTCCCAGGATAAGAGGATTTTTGGGTTCCTCTCCATATTCCAGAACTACGAAATCTGTAGGAATTATGCAATCACCAACTTTAATCAGAACATCCTCCAAGACACCTTTTGGGATTCTTTTAGATCGATCTGCTAAGATCAAAGAGATCTTAGTTGGCTTGAAGTCAGCCATCCCAAGGCTAACAGCTACAGAGTATGGCATGAGGTTGACACTCGAACCAAGATCACACAGCGATCTCTTGAACTTCTCTGAAAAGATAGAGCAGTCCAAAACAAAGCTTCCCGGGTCCGAGAGTTTCTCTGGGATCTTATTCTGAATCACAGCACTGACCTGTTCAGAAATCATCATCACTCCTTCCTCATGACTCAGATTATTAGTCACCATCCTCTTTACATAGTGTCTGAGAGTAGGAGCAATCTTCACAGCATCAATCAAAAGAATCTCAATCACAAGCTTCTCCATCAAAGCCTTGCATCTGGCATCATCTAACTCCTGCTTGGACTTCCTAGGACTCCGTGGGTAAAGAATCTTAGGTCTGTAGACTCTTTTCTCTGCTGATTTCGGACTTTGAGCAATATCGGCTTCGCTCTGCAATTGGTGTCGCGCGACACTAGTTGTGGTGTCGCTCGACACCGGCTCTGCAGCTTCGAAATTTTCTTCAGATTCGTCCAATTTCACGATTTCATCCTCAGAAACACCCTTTTTAAGCACATGAGTCAACTTTTTACCACTCCTTAACGAGATGGCACTGCAGTAATGCATAGGATTGGTATCAATCTTCCCAGGAAAGAATCCTTCTTGCCTTTTTACAGACTCTGTAGTCTGAGCAACCTGAGTATCAAGCTTCTTAACATGAGTGTTCAGAACTTCAATTTTTCCATTCAGATCCAGATACAAAGCATCAATCTTCCCATTGAAATCCACAGTCATCTTCTGCTAACCTTCCAAGATCTGTTCCAACATAGACTTCACCTCATTATCTGGAGTTTGAGAAGGAGAACCATAATTCCTTGAAAAACTGTTGTTGGAGTAGGATGTTCGGTACTGATCAGGTATAGAGTTGTAACCAGAAGAGTTCTGATTACCTGTGAAGGTACTCTTTTGATTATTTCCACTGTAATTCATGTTCCCTTGTTGAGTACCTAATCTCTGACCCTGAAATCCAGCTCCATTGATGAAGTTAACATCCTCTTCCTCAAGTGCTTCATCTGGTTCGAAATTCTTAACCTCTACAGCGTATTGGACGGACTTCTTACCCACTAGAAGGCTATACACAGAGTCAAGCTTAGCCTTCACCTCAGCAATCTGCGATCCATCCATGTTTCCACCCTGCTTCTTTTGCTGATAGTCTGCATTCTTGGTACTATTGCTAGTTTCCAAGTTCTCAATAAGCACAACAGCATCTTCGGGGTATCTGATGTTGAAGTTCCCATTGCTTGCAGCATCAAGAGCCATCTGATACCTCCAATCAACACCTCTGAAGAAAATACCTAGCAGCTGAACATCACTGAAACCATGATGGGGGCAATCTCGCTGGTACGACTTGAATCTCAGCCAAGCAGCTTTGAACGCCTCAGTTGGTCCTTGAGAAAACGTCGAGATTTTGAGTCTCAACTCTTCAGACCTGGCATCATCGTAGAAGTTATGCAGGAAGGCGTTCCTGGTCTCTTCCTAGGTAGTCAGCGAACCTGGTTCCAACTGCTTTAGCCAGTTAGCTGCTTCTCTAGCAAGAGAATAAAGAAACAGCTTGCAGAAGAGGAAATCATTGGACACTCCATTGTATTTGATGCTTGTGACCAAATCCTCAAACCTCTCGATGTGGTCCATAGGGTGCTCATGAGATAGACCATGAAAAGGGTTCTGCCCCCCCCCCCCCCCCCAAGAGTGTAGTTAACAGGCTTCAGCTCAAAGTCATTCCTCTGAAACGCAGGAGCCCGAATCGCAGACCGATTTGTATAGAATTGCTCAGGTCTGTTGTAGTCACCCAGCGTCCTGATGATGTTACCCTCTCCATCAAGTCGCTGGCCTTTCTCATTGCACACATGACCTTCTTGGTCTCTTCATACTCCAGCATCATCACGAACCAATGCCAGTGCGTTCTCCATCTTTGCTAGTTTCTGAGACAAAGAGAAAGAGCAATGTAAGTAACAAAGTAAAAATAAAATTAAAATAAACAACGGGTGTCGCGCGACACCAATGCTGGTGTCGCTCGACACAAAAAAAAACTTAGTCGAAACTCAAGAACTAAAGTTTAGTGGCGAAAATCAAGTCCCCGGCAACGGCGCCAAAACTTGATCTGCTCAAGTTTTATCCCTCTCAAGTTTTATCCCTAGAGCTACTCTGCAAGAGCACAGATGTGCAGTTGTAGTATGTAGGGGTCGAACCACAGAGACGAGAGATTCGCTCAATAAACCAATTAGACTTGAATTACGTTAAGTCAAAACAGTAAAATTGAAAGCAGCAATGAAAATCAAACGTTTGTAAAATCAAATGGAAAAGGATTAGGCTTAGGGCGTTTCTCAGGAAATCAGAGAATGCAGATCAATCGATTAGTCAGGGTTCAGGTTTAAGCACGGTTCTTGAACTCAAATCACAAAATTATAATTAACCAACTTCCGTTGTGAAAATTATCTAAGTTAAAATCCTAGAATTCCAAATTCCTTTGCAAACCCTAAAGATTTAAACCAGCTTTAATGCTCAAGTTCGATATGTTCACAAAGTATCTAAACCAAATTCCTTTGCGAATAGCTACTTTGCTCACCCTAGGTTCTTTCCAGTTATTCAATTACACTTCCGTGTCAATTAAGCAACCTAAGATCTAAGTTCTAAGTTCTAAGTTCTAGGTGGCCAGTCCAGAATTAGTTTTAAGAACAACCTATGGTGAAGAACTAAATAGATTATAAACCCTAATCAATCAATTAATCTAACTTCCAATGAAATATTTTATGAGAACCCTAAACCTAACAAGCAAACTACTCAGACATGTAGATTGAAACAATAAACATGAATGAATAGATTGTAGAAAGCAGTAAATAGATTAATAAACAGGGGTTCAAAATCTTCTCTCTCTAGAATAGAATTTCAGACTTGTCTCCCCAAGCTCTCAAAGTATCGATGAACAAAAAGTAAAAGCTCTCTCTAAGAAAATCTAAGGTCTCGATATACGGTGGCTAAAAACCCTATTTATAACTTAAAAACACGTTTTGGGCTTCTTTGTAATTATTGGAGATTTCTGGGCCCAACTCCTTCTTCAAATAGGAGACAAAATCGCGTTTTCCTTATTTCTGCGATCGGTGTTGAGCGTCACTATGGTGTCGAGCGATACTAAAGCACATAATTCATCCTTCACAAATTTGATCCTTGTTTAACTCCAAAGTGCTCCAAAATCACCGATTAAGCTCCAAACATACCTATGACATGTAAAAACTCCAAAAGACTCGAAAAATACTAAAAAGACTCTATAAATAAGACCTATACCATGGTCAAAAACTATAAAAACCAAGATATATCACATACGCTGCTTCCATATCTCTGCTGCATATTCACTTCTTGTTTCACTCCAGGCATAGTCTTCAAATGTGATTTCTACTGCCTTTGAACACAAGACTTCGCATTCAATATGAATGCATATATGTTTCTGATTGCTCTCTGAAGCAACTCCTTATGTCCTACATACCAGAGCTTGATCTTGACTCAGCTTCTATAACAACTTCGGTTTGAACGGCTTCGTGAACATCGCCGCAAGACCTGTTTCACACACAGAATGAATAGTTTTATCATCATCGATAAACACACAGGTCATGCTTTGCTTTACGTACAGGTTCTGATTTGTAGCATGTTCAGCACTTTGGACATCTTTGTTTCATCTGCCATGTCTCAGCTCATGCGACACTACCTCTACCTGTACGGGTTTCTTCATTGCATCACAATCAAATCCGTCTCAGAGTCTCTGTTTCAGTTGCACTACTTCTATGATTCTAATACATTGACTCTGTTTCACCTGTCTTATCTCATCTCAAGTAACACTTAATTTGAAGACTTTCTCGTTGATGATATCATGAACAACAATCTTCTGTCTTAGGATTCTGAAGTTCTACAAACCAGTGACAATAACACTTTCAGAGTCCTCATGGGATTTTGTTGGCCATGTTGTCCTTCGGAGCTTTCACCATCATTCATCTTGTTGAAGCACAAATTTCAGAGGGTATATAAATCTTTACCGTTTGTTTCAATTGGCTAATCTTATTTTACTGTTACTCTTTCCCCTATACACCCATGCATGAGTAAAAACATTCTTTTCATCATTCTTATGCTTACTTTCCTAACAAACGAGTCTCCTTATATAGAAACGGAAACCGAAATATAGTTCACATCAGACGAGAACTTCATAAAAAGTGGAAAGCTTGGTAGAATCCCGGCAAATCTTGAATCAGAAACCTCAAACCGTACTCGACCCTACGATACTTTCCAGATTGAATACGAAACTGCTATGATCTAAGTGTGGATAAAGGGAGGAATTATCTTATTAGAGCTATGTTTTTCAATGGAAAATTTGATGGGCTTAATGTTAGCCCGCAATTCGATATGGATATAGGTCCTAATAAGTGGGCAACAATAAATTTGCAAAAGAACCATCTGGTTCAGGTAAGGAGATCATTCACATCCCAAGATCAAACTCTTTGCAAATTTGTCTCATTAAGACAGGGGCAACTACACCGATGATATCATTTAGAACAATTGGCGAATGATACTTACATGCATGGCTAAATCTCGCTCCCTCAAACTTAATTTTCGTATGTATCTTAGCAATTCCAATGTTAATGTTAGATACTTATTCAATTCCATATATATATATATATAATTGAACATGTTTATTAACGTCCATGTGACATGTAGTATAATTCTAATTCACTAGTTTAATATATATCTTTTTTTTTAATGAATGTTAAATTGTATTCAAGCCCAAAAAAATAGCGTTTCTACATCATCGATGCGAGCTTATAAAGTAAAGAAATGTTTTTGAAACTAAACATGAACACAGCAAAGCAAAATCAGTTGTAGTCTCTATCCATTAATCTGCTGGTCTTGATGCAAACCAGGTTTGAAGCCCCTCCTCATAACTTCAATCTCCCATCAATCGAATGGGACTAAATTGATTTCGGATGCCCTTATCGATGAACTTAATCAAAGTTGCCTCTGTTGTTGGGATGCTCCCATGTCTTCTTTTATTTCTCTCTCTCCATATCGTAATCTAGAATAGGTATCAGATGATAAAAGCCTTTATAGGACTGTAATCCAGCTTGGATATCAGGTTGACAACCATATTTCAATCAGTTGTGAAGTCTTGAAGTAAGATCCCATGAGCTAAGGACTTCCATATTGTTGCCACATAGGGGCAAGCGAAGAATAAGTGTGCTCGAGTCTCCACCGGTTCGGAACAAAATATACAAGAACTAGAAATATTCATGTTCCAATATTGCATTCGATCACCTATGGAGAGTCGGTTGTGTAGCGCCACCCAAGAGATAAAAGCATATTTAGGACTATGATGGGTAAACCATATCCCATAAGCCTAAGGTATCCTCACAGACGAATTCCTCAGCAATTTTCGAGTGCACTTAGTGCTGAACCTCACTTGAAACTTGTCCTCTTTCATTCTCCATACAAAGACATCCTCCTTACCTGCGTTATATTTCTGCTTCATTTGCTACAGCTCGTCCTCCACAGTATTCAGGATTTGGATTCTATGTCACATTTGTCAATGAGTGAGTATTACTCTCTCCACCGTTGAATCAAAAGGGATCCAAAGGTCCACACATCCTCTTGCCCCAATAATCGACATTAGATTTCCCAGCGATGACCATTTATCAAACCAGAAGAGAGATGATCGTCCATTTCTTACTTCCACCTTCATAAATGATTCAACTAGT